GGTGTTCAGACTGCAGTCTTGATTGCGCAATCCGGTTCAGGTGTCCAGACTGCAGCATCAGCTGAAGTCAGCCACGCCCCCTGTCACACACTGCTGCAGGGAAACAGAAAAAGGGGAAAACACCAGAACAACCCCAAACATGACACTGCAAGAGCAGTGAAATATACTGAATAGTTCAGGATGCAGTTATCAAACAGGGGCTGTATATTTCCCCAGATTTGTACGATCAAACAAACTTTCAATTTGGTCTTTTAAAAACTGGATCATTTCCTCTGTTGTGATATTCCCCAACATGAAACATGAGACATTTCAAAGGATTTAGTGACATTTGGGGATGTGGTTGCAGAAGAATAACAATGTGCAATAAACCAGTGAACCACATTTCACTCCATTATCTCTTTTAGATTTTATTATTTATGCTTAAAATCAGTGCTGTTCTTTGCATTTGCAGTTTTTTTCAGTCTACGGGATGTTTAACGGTATGCAATTTGTAGCCGTTTTACACTCGTTAATGTGGTTCTCAGATTGTATCAGCCGCGGGTTCAGGGACGCTTCACATTTGACCTGCCGTTCTGCCTCGGTACATTCCAAACAAAAAGGTGAAGCGCAGCCGCTCTGCCTTCAGCGGGCCGCGTGAAGAGGACTCTTGTTTCTTTGTGCATGTCTGCCAACATCCGTCAAGGGGAAGATTAATGTTGTAAGGGTTGCAGGAATGTGTTTTACATTCTAATTAACTAAATGAGGCTGTTCTGGTAAAGAGAAGTTTCCAAAAAAACCCAGTGGCTAAAACTCCACAAGGCACTACATCATACGGCAAATCCAGCTCCTGCTGAGCAAATTCTGCAGAGGGCATGCCATCCAGCTCATCTTCATTTTCACCTGTGTGCATAATACGATTTAATTTCCCTGAAAACATTTTAACAATGTGGAGGCCTGGAATGTGTAACCTGTTCAAGAAAAATATAAAACCTGAATTATCTATCCGAATCCCTGACAGAGGGTTTCGCTTTGGATTAGGAGAAATACATCTTTGAACAAAAATGCTAATACTGGATGCCATTTATAACGCGACATGTGACATCCACAGTTAAGCTGGTGGGTGGTTCTTAGTAATTTCTGCAAAATCACTGGAGATTTAATTTGATTTTGAAACTTATTCAGACCCACGGAGAAATTAGACCGGTGTGTACGGTTTGAGTGTTTGTTATTCGTTTGCTCTTTTCAAATTGTAAGGTGATAAGGTAAAGATGCACTCATTAAAATGTGACAACAGCAGGATTCAGCCATTAGCAGCTCACTGAATCGCCACGAAGGACGCGGGAAAAGGTGCTAATTAAAAGGTATTCAGCTAATGTGTGGAACATCTACAATTGACTGCCGAAATGGGTCAAGGCATGTTTGGAAAGGTCGGGGATGGACTGTTGGAAGGCAGACAGAGGGAACAATAAGCACTCTGAGTAATTAGGATACACTTCCCTCGGTCCAGCCTAATTCCTGCATCATCGTCTGTTCTCATCACACATCCATTGTGTGACCACAGCTGTAAACAGCAGACTTGTGTTGCTGTGCACGGAGCCTCCAGCTAAAAACAGCTTTTAGAAAACATGTTTAGGGAATGTGTATCAGGACAGTCTTGTCTATTAAAACTCTCCAAATCACCTTGGGAGCTTTGCAAAGAGAATGGTGTGTCTGTAATAGAGCCATCTGTAATGAGCCTGCCCTGCTGGTGGTAATGAGGTAGAATGATGAGTTACCTCAGCAGTAAACCACTGCAAGTACTCGGCCTTATTACTATTTCCATATAATAAGAAAGGCATCGGAATAGGATTTCTTTGGATGGTTTCAACCTGGATACAAAACGTTTCCCATCAGCGAGGTGAAAGGGACATTGGAAAAGTTGAGCTGTCTGTCAACTCTCTCCCTTTTGAACTTTTTCTCTCAATCACACACCGGCTACACACAGTCCCTTTGCTGTCCTGCCATGGCCCAAAGCAACTCTCTAATTAACCCGCTGTCTCTTTCCACTGGCGCTTTGAAGTCGTTTTACTTGGTCCTCTCCAGCGTCTTTTCAACACGTGTCTGAAATCTTTCTGCTGTGCTTCATTATTCTGTTCCTGCAAAGCCGAACGACTCTGTTCATGCTCAGGTTTCTGTTAGCCTGCTAACGCTGTGCATGTTCTGTAGGATAGATGGAGACGGTCAGCTTAGGATTTAAGGTTGAGAATTTGCTCCAACTGTAAATTGTTTTACATTCATTATTTTTGGTTGAACATGACTGTAGATGTTTGCATCTGTGTGCCCCTTTTTGTTTCTGTGCTCACTCCTTTAGTGGTTATGTTTTAAGAATGTTTTTCTCTCTGTCAGAAGGGTTTGAAGAAAGGCATCTAAGCTGGGGGAAGTTTAAAGTATGTAAAACCACAATGACTGTTCAGAGAAGGAAGTTTGAATTATTTACGTGGTCACTAACTGTATATGCTTGGCAGACAAAGCTAGCATTTATTGTAATGTTTGATTTATGGTGGCATGCCTCTTTCCTTCTGTATCCTTCTTGTCTTGTATGGAGTAGAGGACATGGTGACTTAATGGCTGGTGTCCTCTAAAGATCTTTGAGATGACACCACGTGTAAATCAAATGTGTATTGGTTGGAATTTATAATAGCATAAAAAACAATAAATAATGAAGATGAGAAGAGCTCAGTATAAGTGCATGGAACAGCCTTGAATATTTATAGGTATGTTTCTCAAATTGAATAATGAAAATTTTCAAACAATACACAATTTAACTCCCAACAAGCCTGAACACTTCTACTGTGCTTCAACTCTTGTTAACATTTATTTTTCTTTTAACATGTTCGAAGAGCATTGGGCTCACATTTATCACATGTTTGTGTTTGTGCAACAAAAATTAGATTTTTTTTATAGCTAGCCAAAATCTTGATTCCACGGCTGTGCATGAATACTAAGAAAAGGGTGCTTTTCTCATTTAGGTTCTGCTTCAGCTATAACACAACTCATGCAAGAATAAAAAACATAACAAATAAAGGTGTGTTAATATAAAACTTGAAATATAATTTTGTTTATTTATGTGAGGTAAAAGTTTTTGGCTTTTTAAGCTCGGGAATAGTCCAAACACAAGTATAGTCAGAACCCCACAGGCAGACAAGCTTTCATTTCCTCTAAGGAGAAGCTGCCTCGCCCGCCATTCTTTTCCATGTAACCTTGCAAGGTACCATCTTCATGAAACAGTCTGCAACATCTGTTGTGAATGATGCAATTCAGTCTAATCAGTTAATAACTCTTCCAAAGCAACCGCTAACCTGCTGTTTCCTTTGGTTCGGCTATGGACGAAAATACAAATGATGTTACTGAAGCTGAATTGAATACATTTATAGAGAGAAATAATTATTGGATTTAATTTCTGTCCTCATATATTACTGGAAGCTTTTTCTCTTTTCCACTCACCTTCTTGTTTCTGTGTTGCAAGAGACAAAATAAGGCTTTGCATCATCTCCACAGAGGATCAGAAGGGTCATGCTGAGTTAAAAGAGTCATGTTTTCCTGTTTCTACTGTGGTAACGGGACAGCCATGGAACGGTGATGTAATAACAGATTATGTTGATGTGTCACTTACTCGGCTGTGTTGTGAGGCAGTCTGCCTCTTCTTAGTGAATATCATCTTACCGAGGTGACAGTTTAAGCTCTTGTTTGAATTTAATAAAGGTTCAGATGTGGAAGCTTCCCATGTGCATTTGAGCTGTGTTGAAACTGACTTAACTGAGAATGTGTGTGTTGTATCTGATTGTGTATCGAATGAACGAAGTTTTATCTTCTCAATGAAATCATTGCCTTTGTTTTAAGGCATGTCGACAACATCTCCAATAAAAATCACTAGTTTAATTCTTCAGTAATTGGTTTTGTAAAACACTTTGAATAAGTCTTCCTTTATAAGAGTTATTGGCCATTTTGATCATTCTGAATGATTCTATTGTTTAATTGACTGAAGTAGTTTTTTTATGTTCTAATAAAGCTGCTCTTAAACTCCCTTCACCGTTTCCTCATTATGTTGTTCCTATGTAGTCACACAGACGGTTTTTTTGTTTATTAAGATTCTGCTGTAAGTCTGTTGCACCTTAAGGGCCACCATAAACCGTTACATTTGTCGAGCTCACTTATTGCCTCATGACCGGCACAGTGAACATCATGACATCTTTTTTTTTTATATCATTGCATATCAGTTGTTTTCCCACTCAGAACCGAGGGGATCAGCCTTTTGTGATTAATCTCATACCCCCCCCCCTGTAGGGGGCAAAGGTCCACACCTTTGTGCAGACGGTGCACCTCCTGTTGGCTGCTGTTAAGAGTAATGAAGTGGCCTACCGGCCAAACTCAGCCTCAACACTGCAGCATGAAAGTGTTCTCCAGTCTGGACCAGGAGTCCTCATTACTGCCACGTAGTTTTGTTTACGAGCTAAACCGCTCACCGCATAGTGTCAAACCTCAGCCAAAAGGCCATGTTTCACATTCCAGCCCATTATGCTGCTGCTGCACTGCGTCAACTGGATGTGCCCCAGCCTCGTTCGGCGCATGTTGTGTGTGTGTGCCTGCGTGGGTCTTTGCATCTGTGTGTGAGGTGTAAGTATGAGCTTTGTTTGTGTGGGAGCTGCTCGGTGTCTCTGTCTTTATCTTCTCTGTAATGGCGTCCCTTTGCTTTAGAATGGAGGTTTTACACACAGAACCGTTAACCCTCAATGATCTATGCAGCTTTAGCATTCGTGAGATTATGTTTTGTTTTGTTTCTAAAAGCTTTATGCTTCTTGACTAAATACACAATATTTTTCTACCCTGAAAGAATGGAAATAATACAGCCACTCGCTGTGGCCAGCCATGATCTTTTCTAAAATGCATTTTCCCTGTAATTATTCAATTTCTTTAATGGATTCTGGACATTGTAACATCCTGCCATTTTTGTCTATTTCTACTCCTGTGTCTGCCTATCAGAGGGCCAGCTGCTTCCTGGGAATAACTTCACCACAGAGTGCAACATCCCTGGAAACTTCATGTGTGGAGATGGGAAGTGTGTACCAGGCGGCTGGCAGTGTGACGGATTACCAGACTGCTTCGACAAGAGCGACGAGAAAGGGTGTCGTAAGTTCCGCTTCATATCCACTATCAAATCTCGTTTTAGGCTCTCCAGCTCTCATCTTGTAGCCGAATGGCCTGTTAGGAGTAATGTCATGTTCTCTCAACTCCTGAACCCTTCTTCCTTTACAGTATTTCAGTTTTAGTTTTTCTTCATTCCATCGCTATAAAGCCATAAGGGCCAGTTAAACCTCGTTTTCTACAAACTCAAATGACTTCTTCGCTCAGTCCTCAAATCACTCCTTGCTCCTTCCTCCACGCCTCTCCTCGTCTCTATCATCCTTCCTGTTGGCCTCGGTTTAGCACCGGGGTAAAATTTAATACCATTAAAGCAAAAAACGATTACTTCAGTGTGCAGGAATAGTGACAAATATATGATTCTATTATAAGGCCGTATTAATAATTCATTTTCCATCCTCACACTTACTTTGCTTTGTTCTCTCCGGTCTGCTGCTCCTCCTTTTCGCCCTCCCTCTCTGCTCCACACAAAGATTGCTGATAAAGATTGACTCTGAGTTTCTGCCACATTGATTCAAACCCCCATTACCCAATATATTCATCAGTTTTAGTGTCTCACTCACCATTTTCCCTCCTCTCATCGCCTTCCCAATTACTCTCATCTGATGATTTGGGGCTTTTGGCTTATAATTCGCATTGTTTTTGATTAGAGGAGCATGAACCTTTTCGTTCACAAGTTCAGTTAACTTTTTTGTGACCCGGCTTGTCCTCAGCCATAAAAGCCCTCGTCATATGGATCATAACGTCTCTTGCTCTATCTCTTGCTGGTAATTCAAGCAAGAAATTTACAGCCGTGGACGATTTTGCCTCTTTGGCTATGACTTATGAACCAGCTGTATAGGATGTATATTTATATATCTATATCTATCTCTCTCTATATATATATATATATTATAGCAGGTTGAATTTTGAGTTTTGATTCAGCACGCTTCATGGCATAAGCATTTTCAATTATATTATCAAGATGTAAAGGCTCTATTTTTTATATCGTGCTTTCTTGTCTTTTAGAACACTTAAAGACACTCTGAATATAGACTCATCATGTAGACTGGAAAGACAATTAACTTAACTTAACTTAGCTTATCCAAAGCCACTCGCGGACTGTGTGCACAAGCTCAAACTCATCCAAATGATGCTCACTGGTGTTCAAATAACAATTACCTATACAATTATATAAGTCCTATTTCTGTTCAACTTCTACGTATTGATGATATGAAGTGGGTAGTTTTGTCATTGGAAAAACTCATTTTAGTTTTTAAACTTTAGTTTACTTTTGCCCCTAACATCCCAGTTGTTTTTCAGCAACTTCCATGTACACAGAATGTGTCCCAGATTCTCATCACTCTGTGACCTTAAACTGCCAACATCCACCAGCAGCAAAAAAAGGCGTTCCAGGAAAATAATCGTCCACTTTGCTTGTTGGATTTTTATATGTGTTTGTCTGATCGATTACGAAATGAATTTCACTTAAGATAGGAACAAACAAGCTTGGGTTTTTGCCTGATGCTGACACTACATGAAGCCTATACTCTTAAAGATAAAAGTTATCTCTGAACATCACACTCGGCCTGCTTCAGCTGTCTGAAGACTATTTGTGCTTGTTGTCGACATCTACATTATCTCCTCTGGCATAAGCGGGCCTTATTATCCTCAAATAGAGGCTAGTTGTCAGGCAGAGGCTGCACAAAAAAATCCCCAGACAAACTTCTGGCTCCACTGGGGGCTCTGCAGAGACAAGTGGGCAGACTAACAGACAGATAGATGGAATTATGGGAAACAAGACAGAAGGGGGGCAGAAAAAAAAAGACTGCATGGTGGCATTTGCTGACGTCCATTCAGGATGTGTAATGTCTATGGACGCACAATGCTTGGAAATCTTGAGGCGCCAGCACTTGATTCTCTGCAAGCGGAATTCTAATTAGTTACCCCCTGCTAAGAAAACACACACACGCTTTCATGTTTATGGATGCATTTAACAGAGGGGAATGGAAGGTTTGCTGTCATGATTGACAGTTTGTTGACTTATCCTACTCTGCGTCTGTCTGGGAGCAGCGTGAACAGTGTGTTCCAATACAGACTCCTGAAATAAAACACTTAAACTTTTAATGAAATACTGCTATCGCACTGGCGTTCTTTGGCATAGTATCACCAGAAACACAGGTGGTGTCCTTGGCAATCCCAGTTATTGCTGAGGAGGCTGTTCACTGTTAACCGCTGCAGGGCCTCCTGCTAATATGCACTGTGATTGTTCATTGGTGTGATTAAAAAAACAATTTTTTTCTTCATCTTTTTGACATCCCCTCCAAAAAATAAATTGTCTTTTTTAATGTTATAAACTCCCTCCTTCTTGTCCATTTAATATGAATGTGTCCACATATAAAATTCTCTGGAACATATTTTTGCCCCTGATCAGTGGCTATTTTTATCACATCCATTTGCACCAGAAGACAGCTGGAGTAGATCCGCTTTAAGCCCATTAGCCTCAGATTGTGCCTCTGTGGATGTCTGTGATCCAAGTTGCTGCCTGAAGTAATAAAATCGGAATGTTGCGATGGTCGACTGATGTCTCTTTGATAAAAATCTTAAAAAGCTGTTTGAAAAAATAAGGCTTTTAGCTCAAACACCAACAAGCATGTGGGCGTTCATTTTCTGGGTTTCATTAGTCAACATCTGCTGGACACACCCACCCACAGGTTGGTTTAGAGGAGACCTTCTGATGGATTCAAAGGTTTTTACGGGTTGATTTGGCATTCTGCCTTTCTGAGGGCCATACTTAATGCAGTTTCAGTGCAGTCCAGAAGTAAAGTTTTTTTTAGAAAGAATCATGAAAAGGTAGAGTGAACATGCCCTGCAATATCCATCGTTAATTATATATATGTCCCAGCCTGCATTGCACGGTAGGCCAGACCGCCAGGAATTCTTTTTCAAATGGTTGAGAGTGTGTATTCACCAAGAAAAGGCAGGTTTCTATCTTTGCTCAAAAGCCCACTCCTCTCTTCTTTGTTTGTTATGCTGCTATCCCTCTGGCACCAGGGCCAACTTAAGTCATGTAAATACTTTTCACTGACTTTTACAGTCCATGCTGAGGGAAGAGAGGCAATGTCTTCTAAACTCGGTCTGATTGCTTTAAAAGATGCAGGGTCTGGTGTAGCTCAGGTTGTGTGAGGCCAAGACCTGCAGGAGATTGGTTTTCTCCAGTCCATTTTTTAATGGACTTTAACCTTTACTTTTCACAACAGGAATTTAAATACATTCAAATGGAAACTAGACTTTGCAGTGAATCCAATCCAGAATATCTGTTGGGCAATGGCTGACTGGGCCTGACTGCTCAACTCAGGTCTTGTTTACTTCATCTTCTACCGCAGGCACTTCCCCTTCAACGTGGGCGGCATCAGCTGTGTATCATCGCGGCGCCATTTGAAAGCGCGGTGACTCAGAATGCAGAAAACCTGCGTGGTGTGGTCATTGCACTGTGTGAGTTTGCATCAGGCTCCGTTTTTTTTTTTACTCCAGAGACAACAAAACAGAGAGCCGCAGAGGTCAACGTCTGTCAGCACAGACTAAAACAGCCATGTGCGAGCCCATACTCTGTTTACAAACCGCTCTTTTGGAGATGTACTCGGCACGCATGGATGTGCCATCTTACTCATATCTGTTGATTTTCAGTCTGCGCTCACAGACTCGTATGCTGTGTAAATAGATATGCAGCCAGCTTCTTTCCTCTGAGAGCAAGGAAGAGTGCTGGTCTGTGCATGACTACAGCGCTGCAGCAGACTCATTGTTACTGATCCCACACAGGTGAGAACTCTATCTGTCAACACAATTTTTACCTTACCATTTAGTATCATCTGTGTCCAATTGGATCATTGGCAAAATAAATAAAAAAGTATACAGAAGATCTCTTAAACGGGGGAGAAAAGTTGAGTTTAGCTGTGTCATGTAATGAAAAGGTTTGTTTAAGTGCTGGCCAAGGGGACCTCAGGTAAGCGTTCAGCGACAGGATGCTGAATAACTTTTCACACAAAAAGGTCAAAAATACTGTCTCGCTCTCTGGTGTTCACAACGCCAGCCTGAGAGAGTGTGAGATGAAATAGCTGCTGACAGAAGAGGGGGAGAAGATGGCTGACTGAGCTGCGAGTGCCTTAGAGCAAGGATTAGCTTCTCTGCCCTTGTCTGAGGATGGCATGAGCAAGAGAGCAAAGACATTATAGGCCCGAAAGGAGGGGAGGACATGACGCAAGAACAGAGCACATAAACCCTAAAAAGAGGCTGTTTGTGTCCATGTTTTGTGCTCAGACTTAAAGTCATTTTATATTGTGGCTACTGTCTCACTTTTAAGAAGAGTTGACTTTGTCTTGATTACCCGACAAACAAAAGCCTCCAGCACCATCAGTCGCTTTAAAGCCTGATCCAAGGAAAAATAGACATTTATTTTTCGTCTCCAAAAAAACGGCAGAAATAATTTTCTGAAAAATCATAATTCATAACGATTAGTTAAATGTCATGCAGTCTTCTGCCCGCTGCTATCAGATATATCTGATTGTGTAGAACAGGGTTCTGAGCAATGATTTTACCATTTAATTATGTAAAAGGTCTCGGATGCAAAAGATTTCAGAAACCGTTCTTATCAAATATTATACTGTACATATGTTATATAGGGTTAAAACTCATCCTATGCTTGCTATTGTGAGATAAGGGGTCAACCCGAGTGGATTTGTTTACTGGGAGCATATGCTTTAGGGAACAAAAACAGAGAATAGCAAAGCCATTATATGGCATGCATTCAGCTTATTGTATCATTTGGATGAGAAATGTTGTTCAAAGGTAAAGCAAGTTCTTCTAAAAGTGAAGTACCTTTTTCTGTTTTTCATATAGTTTTCATGCCATGCACTTTGCTCTCTGTATTCTCCACACACATCTGACGGTTTAACATTCTGAAAATTCATCAGGACGCCAGAGATTTAACTTTCTTGAAGCTGCTAGTTTTGTCAGTGAGTTTGAAGTACCTTTTAATACCTATGAGGGATAGCTTCATTGATCTGATTATCTCTTCCCAAAAAGCTAAGAAAATTCATCTTTTGAAATACAGCTTTTAACTCTGCAATAAAAACACAAACAAAAGCCTCCAGCAGCATCAGTCGGGCGACTTGTTTACTGACCTCCAAAGAACCAGCGTGATTGTTGACTTGAAAAGGGCCTCACGACACATATCAACTCCAAAGATCCCTTCAACAACAGGGTGGAAAATGCCTAGAAGCCTCCTGGGACAGTTTGTGTAGAGTTTAGATATCAGAGCTTATACAAAGCCAGGCCATCACCAGACTCACCCTGTGAGGGGACGGGCTGCTGAGATTAAGAGTGTGTGTTTGTGTGATAAGAAAAGTCAGCCTCAGTTCATAGAACCAAAGATTGATGGCTTGTGTCTTTTTCCTCTGTCATTATAGATCTGATCACTTGAGCTGTCCCATTGTGAGGATTCGATCACATTTTTGACCATTTAGATGTGTCTGGCTTTGAAGTCGGGCGGGGTAAGATGTTGCTGTTTGTAAGAAACCCAAAACAATGGTACTATTTTACAGTGAGTACGAACCAATGTTAACATATTTCTGAAGTTAACTACTGATCAGGGCAGAAAATAAACTGGGGCTGATAATTCATTGGCTGGTTTTCAGAACCATGATGGCGACAATGTCATTATACTAGTAATTAATGTGTCTAACCTCCTAGCTCAACTGAACGCCGGTGCACTTTAGCCAGCAGTGTGTCGAACAGGACTAAAAGAAGTCAGTGGATTTGTGGTCAAACCAGCTGATCCATGTTCATGTTGTTAGGGGAAATGTATTGACAGGCTGCCATCTTAATTGTGTCCCTATTACAGGTCTGCAAGCCACAGATCCTGAATTGAACTTGAACATGAAAATTATTTAGTACTTGGGGGGGCGTCACCATAGCAACTTGCATAGCAGAGCTCTGCAGCAGGACATTTTAGATATAAAAGGCCCACATGTCTGAAATAAGCAATTACAGGGCAATTAGTGGGCATTACCATTCCATGCAGACCTGGACTTTGATGTGCAGATCTTAAGCGGGTCTCTTTTTTCCCACCTGCCCCTTGAGTCAAAGGCACGCTGAACCTTTTGACTTCTGCTGATGGCCATCTTGTGATCAATATATGTGTGGCAGATATCAGAAGAGATCAGCTTATCTCGAGAGAGAGGCTACAAAGCACAAGCATTTGTGCTCGTTAACTTTGGATGATTTGCAAGAATGTGTGTGGGACTTTTTTTTTTAAATACAAACTTCTTGACTATAATAAAAGGTGATGTTTTTTGTAGCGTGTTTAGAAGAGAACGCAACCGAAGCTGACTTTAGGTTAAGTAAAGAATTTAATTGTGCTTTTTCTATACCATGATCTAAGTGCTATCACTAATCAATGAGCCATTGTAACTGATACCATGGAGCAAGGTTAAAATATTCATGAGTGTTACATACAGTGTCTCACTCTGATTCAGTCTCCAATCTTTTTGTTCTCCACGCCGAGTGTAATTCGCGATATATCGGTTGTCACAATGTGGTGAAATTAGATGCTATTAAATATTCAAAGGAAAATGCAATCCAGTCATTTTCAAAAGAAAAAAAAATCATTTTTGGGAATCAGTTTTCCGAACAAGGTTTACATTTAAGCAGAAGCACCACTTTCTATTATGAAAATTGCAACTAAGAAAATTAGTCATTTTCTGATCAACCACAGACTGCTTTTTTTGTTTGTCCCTTTTTATGTGGAATTGGATAAACGTTCGTTTTGCTCAGCTGTACTTCCTGTGTGGTAAACGAGCCAAACCTTCTGTCTCATTTTGCATGAGGTTTAACAGCTTTGCTCGAATAAATTAAGTGTTTACCACCTGAGATGAAGGAAGCTCTATAATGGTATTCCTCTCATAGAAAGCTATTGTACTGTACTACAAGTGTGCAGGGCTCAGACAGTGAAATGTTCAACGTGATTATTTTGATCCCCGGGCCCACTACTGTGAAACTACCCGTGCCCTTCTTGCTTACACCGCAACTCCATTACCTATTGATTTCTTCCCCTCAGAAATGCTCGGCAAGGTCAGAGAAACCTTTGAAGTCCTCGCCTGTCTCCACTCCTTTGCTCCTGCCTTCTCTCCATGGTTTCTTTTTTGTTAGTTTCTGCTTCAAGCCCTTCTCCTTACTCTGCCAGTCATGCATGCTTATTGTGACTGAGCCTGTCTTTGCAGAGCCAGCTGCTATGTTCTTTGAGGAGTCAGGCTGGGAGAGAGAATGTTGAAGTTACAGATCGAGACATGCCATTCCCCTTACCCACTTAATGATGAAGCTAGTCATTCCAAAATCACCTTGGAAACTCTTAGTATTTACATTGTAGAAATGGAAATATGAAAAAAAAATTATCATCTCATTTTTGTTTATTTTTTGTTTTTTTAATCGTGCTTCTAAAGTTCCAAATGTTTGGGTTAAAAAAAGGGAAATGACTCAATATCAAATTATCTGAGGGCTTGTTGTATAGCAGATAGTAAAGCACAAGCTGAAGCAGGGTTTGTTTATTTGTGCCCGTGTTTATGTGCCCTCTAGCCACATTTCAATGTGAACCCACCATGTTTTTCTGCTGGTGACCGTCTTACCTCGAGGAATCAGCTCAGCCGCTAACCTCATTCGTTTTCATTTGCACTGCTCAGCTGAACCCTGGAACTAGGTTTGGACGCCATCCAACTGCTCTCTTGGTTTTCATAAACAACTCCTACAAAGGCTGAGTGGATGGTGAGAAAATCAGGCACAAAAGTAAGCAGGAGCGGAGGGAAGACTGAGGGCATGAAGATAGAATGGGATGGATGATAATTGGTGCAAAAGCATCAACAATGTCTGGACCAAACAATGTGTTTGTCTGGACAGTGAATTAAGGAAACCTTGACAGGGCTATCAGCTTGAAATGAATGTGCTTTTCTTTTTTTCGTTTTTCACCGTCTCTTCCACCCTAAATTTGCTCCAGCTAATTAATTTCCTCATCTCTTTTGCTCGTCTCAGGCAATAAAAAGCCCCGTTTCCACAAAATACAGCAAAACGCATTAGCTCCTTCCAATCAGTTCTGTCTCTCCCACACAATCTTTCTTTCATGGGTTTGTCCTTCATGCGACTTTTGAGCTAGTTTGAAGCTCAAGCGTTGTGTCAGATGAAGTTCTAGTTAGCAGAACAAGTACGAATGGGCAGTCAAATGATTTAAATGTCCAGGTTTATAAAAATAAGCTGATACAGTTAATGACACTTGTATGATTTCTCACAGGTTTTGGTGTGCATTTAATTTCTATAAAAAACACATAAATCTTCCCATACTTAGTACATATTGACATATGATAAAAGATGAGGCTTCTTTGTTTGTGGCCATATGAATTTCACCATCCAAGCTATCCTGGCTTCCTTCCTCATTCATTGAATTACTTCCATCCCAGAGATGGGCAAACCGATGCGGTTGCTATGCCTTTCCCTCTCCACTTGCTACACATAATTGCCGCAGCTTGAAAGAGCTCATAAATCAGCCTGCCACAATATATTGTCGAGGGAAAAATGTGCACCCCTGGCATTTGAGACGGCCCAGTGCCAAACTATGAGCAGGACAGTTCCACCTTTTTGTGTTCAGCACCGAGAGGAGGGGGGGGGGGACATATGGCTTTGGGTTAAACTGACCTGCTCTTCTCTTTGCCGTATTTGTTTGTGTTATTATATCACTGTCTCAGCCGGAAATTGTAGATTTTATTCCCCACTTAATAAAAAGCCAGTCTTATAAAGTCTGGTGTTTGTGTAATCCATATTACAATAATCTATAAGTGGTTTTACATAGAGAAAAAAAAGCAGAGATGATACTGAAGGAGTGTATGTGATGAACCGTCTTTAGTGGATATATGTTTGTTGAAATATTTCACTCTTACGTTGCTCTTGTTCCAGCAAGGGCCTTTATTTCTGAATGTGTGTGCTTGGTACTACCTGTTATTTGGATTTCCTATTTCTGCCAGGGCAGATCAAGCGGAGCTAAAAGCTCACGGGTTAGCGCTAAACCGTGTGGGCAGGCATCGACGTTCTCCAGGCCCGTCACTCAGTCTCAGGCCTGTCCTTGGAGATAAGACCCATGGCCGGCTTAGGCTGATCGATGACAGAATCCATACAAAGACTCACCCACACAATTTGCTCTCTTTGTCTTTGTCATTAACTTGTTTTCCCCTTTCGGAACTTCACGCTCAGAATCTTACCCTTTCCTTGTTACACTTATTAAAAAGTGAAGACGAGTCTTATAAAACGAAATGGGATGAATATTGATTTTACTCTGTAACAACACAGCTGTTCTACCACTTAAACCTTGAATATTAATGACTGTGTTGTTTATGCATTTTATTCTCCTTGTTCTCGGAAACATTTCAACCAGAAAAAACATTTGGCATTAGTGATTGGTTTCTCACTGCATTTGTGCAAATCAGCCCAGGCTGCGGGAATTTAAAAACTCTCTCTCAACCATCCAAACACTAATCCATTGTCCTTATTCTTCCTCACCAATTTATGTGTCCCCAGCTAAGGTCAAGTCAAAGTGTGCCCCCACATTCTTCGCCTGCGCTAACGGGGTCCACTGCATCGTCGGAAGATTTCGCTGTAATGGCTTCAGCGACTGTCCTGACGGGAGCGACGAGGAGAACTGCAGTAAGTCTCACACAGGATCCCAATTCCAGAGCTGGAGGCCATAGTCACAAATAGTAGCCTCTTCCCCCACTTTGAAATGCAGAGTACAGCAAATGTAGTTTCCAGAACTGAAATATAACCTTCTAATTTCTGCTAAATCTGAACTTGGCATTAATTTGCACGTCAGCGTCTCTTTCTCATAACAGATTTCTGCTGGGGGAAAAAAACTGCAGTGTTGCAATTCATTTAATCTCTAAATGCAGATGAAAAAAGAACAAAAAGAACACGTTGAGTGTTAAACGGAAAAAGTTAGTGTGTAAGATGTCGGCTCCCAGTGTTTGGGCAGGAACATGTTTACCACTGAGTTGCATCACTTCTTGCTTTGACGTCTCTCTGCAAGTGTTTGGAGACTGAGGAGACCAGCTGCTGTTTTCAAAGCTAAATGTTTCCTTGTTCGTTCTTTAATGCTATACGATCTCAGCTGCTCCACATTTTAATGGTTACAGTGAATCTCAGGTCTTAGCTGTCAGGCAACTTCAACATCTATACATTTTTTTATATAGACAAGAGCTGCTTGAATGGCATGTTGATCCATCCATAATTGCTAAGAAAGGGCAAATAGTGCCTCAAATGTGCGTGTTGTCTTTCCTCTAATTATTTAGCACAGTGATCTTAGTGCTTACATGGGTTTAGTTTGTATTGAATATGCTCTATTTGTGCAATTACTAATGTGATATGTCTTTCAAAAAACATTAAATGAACTTTTACAAACCCCATTGTCATTAAAGTGTGCACATTTTCTGCAATCCAAATAAAAACTCAGTTTTAATCAGGTTAAAGTTAGGGTCAATGCCACCAACACACATGCAGTAAAGAAATAGTTGGAAGAGAGTCAATCTGGGCCCCTCTGCACATCTTCTGACTCTTTATCTCCATCCTTCCAGCTCCTTTGTCATTTTCTTTTACTGCATTTCACTCTCACAAGAAAAATAGAAAATGCTGCAAACGAAACTCAACCGACAGCCAAGCTTCCATTTGTTGAAGTTGGACAGGTACTTGGCTGTGCTTTTTTCTAATGCACAGCACTATCTGTAACAATTTCTTCAGCAGGACTTGGTTTTTAACCGAGGATCCAAATCTGTTTTGTTTTCTTTTTCGTTTTGTTTCATTTTGTTTTGCTTTGTTTCTTTTCCTTCTGATGATTTCAAATCCTGTGTTATTTTTCTTCCTTTCACTTGAGACGAGTGAAGTCACCTGTTACACATCAGAGTCTCATCTTCGGACTTCAAATATCATGTCACACCTATGCTGGTCTTATTAACAGGGCTATAAGTAGCAAATGGTGAAAAAATCCACCATCTCTTTGAAAGTCAACTTGAACTATGAACATCTTTCTAACCGATTATGGATGTAATTTTGAGCATGCAAAACACCTGAGCTGCTTTCTCAGAGGAAAGAGAATCAGTGCGAGCACACACCATTGTCAGAACCACTTCTCTTTGCCTGCAGCTACCATGCTCACAAATCTAATCTGGCCATTTAAGTGGAGCTTTGCTCCATGCTCACAGCACACTCTGCGTCATGACTGTGCAGCCGTCTGGATCTTCTCACAAGATAATTACGTCTCATTTTGCTGAGACCAGAACAAAGACAAAAACTGGAAAATGGGTTGAACGAAGAGCCACAGCGCACTGCAGGGTTCAAAATGCTTTTGCTTTTTCATTGCGGTTTTTATTAGATATCACCACTTGAATGCTTAAACAGCTCTCGCAGTTTAAGTCTGGTCTCAAGTATTTTGTTATGTTAGGTTTGTCCCACAGAGGACGAGTCACAAATAACCTTCCTGCTTCTTTAACTCAATGACTAAGTTCAAAGTTTTTCTCTGAAACCCCCACTGTGTTGAATGTTGCCCTTTGACCTCTGTCCTCTTTAGGCAACCCTCTGGTGTGTTCGGAGGCTCGCTTCAAGTGTCGAAATGGACACTGTGTAGACCGCAGCTTCCTGTGCAACGGTGAGGACAACTGCCTGGACAACAGTGATGAGGAGCTCTGCCAGACCACTGCAGGTAGGTCATTAAGATAAATGTGTGCTAAATTATGAAAAATAACCCTCGGGACTTGTCCTCAAGACCTGAAATACCCCAAATTTCAGATATATAACGTATGCCTGATGCAGGAAGAACTTAGCAAAACACTAGTCAGCTAGAAAGTTTCCAATAGTTAAACAACATTTAGTATGACACATTGACACTTAACAAAAATAAGTGCAAATTAAAATAGACTGATCCTCATCAAAGAGTCCAGATGCCAGGACCATATTGAGGCCGTCACTAAAAAAAAGTTTTAAAAAATGTTGATGAGTGACGTAAATAACTTGAAAATGATACACTTCCCCACATCTAAAAAGACAAATCAGATTTTGTCTGAAATTAATTGCAATAAATTAATAAATAGTTTTCCCTATCAAACATTTTTCATCATCTATTCCAGATTTCCCACGGTGCTATGACAAGTTCCATTTAAACAGATTCTGACTGTGAGCATAAACTGCAAACATCTGATAATCTGGATGAGAAAGATAAGTTTTCTCACAAGGTTAAAAGAGAAAGAAAATACCAGAAGTGGGCTGTTCCATATTTGAAAGCTGATGGATGCTGTTACATTTAGTGAATCAGTTGGGTAAAAGGATGCAAATGGAGATGTAATATTCTGTCACTCATTATGTCATCTGATGCTTCTGGAGACATCACTTCGGAAATTGATTCTGCTGCCTGTGCTTTAACCGCAAAAATCACAGAGAATATTCACACTTGTGTGATTTTATTCCACCAGAGATGAAGAATTTCCCTCAATCTGCCTGTTAAAGATATTAAAAATATGCCAGTGCCATTAGTGGCATTTGTAACTCACATCATAGGAGGCTGATAAGCAGTCTGATGATATCCTGCTTAAAATGGCTCATTTACTGCCTGGCGCTTCTTACGTCTGGCGTGCACTGCTGTTGACTGTCAGCACGTCCTCTGAAATTCCAAAGACTAACCAGTGACACTGGAAGTTCCACTACCAGCAGTAAAACCCCAGAGCTCATGTAATCCCACCTTTCCAAATATGTAACACCAAACATGTTGTCTGTATATCTGTTAGCCTGTTGTAAGGCTGGTACCCTTGATTTGAATTCATATTTACTTCTAAAACCAGAATTAAATATGCCACAGTTAATCAATCTTTTTTATATTTTACTTATCTAATTTGTTAAGTCTAAATTAGTCAACTTATTTCTGTTTTTGTGAGTCTGTGTGTGTGTGTAAAAGAGAGAGAGATAGAGCGATGAAGCGAAATGGAGTCGATTCTTAATTATGAACTCGTCCCTGTCAGGCTCCACAGCTCAATGCAAAGATACAGAATGCTGAATAGAACTTTGTTGTGATACAGAAATATCGATCGATATCTGTTTCTGCTGCACTCCATTTGTTAGTTGACGAGTGGCCAATACTAACGCCAGAATGCAACTGCAAATCTTTATACCCAAGCAGGGATTTTATCAGCAAATACTGGTTGTTACGTAAAGCCCGGATAAAATCCAACAGCTGACTGTGGCAGAAAACCTCACGGCAGATGAATTTGAAGAAGTTTGCGTTGCTCATTTACAATAATAAAAAAAGAAGAATCAAAACTGACACAGCTCAAGGCAAAATCTATTATATTGATTGGGATCCTCACAAGAATTAAATGGATGTTTTTTTTTCCTTTCATACCTTCAGTTATTTCTCAAAGTTTCATCAAATGTGCTTGAGTAGGTCCTGTTTTACTCTAATTCATTCATTTTTAACAGATAGCTCAACAGTACTGGTGATACAGCAGTGTGTCTGCTCTTGGCAGCAAAAAACTTCATCAGCCTTTTCCAATTCTCTGATATACTATCACATAAAATGTTTATGCACACCAGTATGGATTCAGTTCGGATCTGCTGAGTGGTCTATTATACACAGTGTTCGGTTTCAAGTTCAACCAATAGCTCCATTAAATAAAATGATCTGCATTAAGGCAGTTTTATTTAAAAGTCTGCTAAGAAATCCTGAGGGATTTTGATACGATGCTTCCATTCTTAAAATGTCTTAAAGGTCTCTGTTTTAATGAGTTTTTAATCAGAAAAACGCATGAATTTGCAATTATTCAGCTTAGTCGTTGGCTGGTTTTCACAGAATTGTGTCCATCCACATGCCTCTTAGCTGTCTCCTTACCTGAATGCATGCATATGGATGGTGTACAGTGGCCTAAATATTCTCCTGCTTATCTTTTCTGCTGGCAACATTTCAATACGTTTCGGCATGACCGTTTGAACACATCAAGGCAAAAACTGCATGTGTGTCATCATTCATTTATCTCGACCATGACGGTGTGCCAGTAAAGAAGTGAAGCCATCACTTCTATTTGCTCTGGCACGCACTCGCCTCACACTCTGCTCCGACTTTGCCTCCTTCCATAATAAGCACAGACCTGCAGGTGACAGATAAGGCATACAATATCCGCTCTGAGCCACCTGAGCGTAACATCTTCCTCACTTTCTCCTCTGTCCCTCCGTCTCTGTTTAACTCCTCCTCCTTCATAATTACTGGCTTCAGTGTGTCCACATGTGCCTCCACTGTTTGCAGAGTCTAGTGAGAGCTCAGCTCAGAGTCAGCCCTCACACAAGTCATCCTGGTGTCAGACACCTCAGAAGCTCTCCATCCCAAAGGGGGTTTTTCTTTAATGCCGGGGTGTACATTTCATCATAGCAGTATTTATTAACAGTGTCACAAAGTTAAACACTTACAGTGTTGCAAAGAGCTCATGTCACTCCTTGTTGTTTTATTGGATGGTTAATTGATTTTTTTTTTATCTGAGAGATGCGATTCACAGTTAGCACGATGAATCGGCTCCCTTTCCATAAATGCATCGCTCCAATCATCGAAAAGTGCAGAGGAGTGGGATAGAGAGACTGTAATGGATAGCTGAGATAAGGAATTGGAAAGAGGGACACATAAAAATAACATAGTGAACCTGAGATGGAGTCAAGGGAAGCAATGAATAGCAATGGGCTGGGAGATGAAGGTAGGCAGAGAGAGAGGTTATTTGACAGAGAAAGGCAGGGATTTGGATAGAAGTTACGGAGCGGTACTCATAAGCGGTGGAGGATGAGGGTGTACACATCTCATCCGAGCCCCGAGGCCAAGCAGTGTAGCTCTGGGAAGTGTAATAACGTGAAAGCTAGTTCTGCAAAGCTGAGCTTCTTCTTGCCTTTCTCGTTCATCCGGACCTCTTAAAAACGGGGCTGTTCGGAGTACATGTTTACTCCTGTGACTAATTGTTGTAGGAGTACCACCACAAGGCTCACAGGGTATGATGAAATAGTTTGGTGCCTGGTTAAGAATAGGAAAGCATCCATATCACTCTCCAGATTCAGACAGATGCAGGTGAGGATGTGCTCCCATTCAAAAAGCATCAGACAGACCAGGAATTTGTGTGTCTGATGATGCTTTTTCTAAAGTTTCAAGGAATAGAACTGATAAGCAAAACTGAGTTTTATAAAACATTTAATGAATACAGAAGACATTTTTATGTTTTTTAAGGCAATGTAATTGATTTAAAAAGCCTAAAGTACAGATTCATTAACACAGGAGACGGTTCAAAATGGCGTCCTGATTGTAATAGATTTAGATAAAGGTGTGAGCACTATGCACTACCACAAAGAAGCTTTGTCTAGGTCCCTTTTTCTGAAGTGAACCTTTGATATGAGAATATCTAACAGTGAGGGGAAGTGTGAATTATTTGAAAATAAGAACAGACGGCCAGTGTGATATTAGGGATTCAAAAGCTCTCTGCTGGCTTTTTGCCGTTTGAAGATAAAGGTGCCTTTGTGTAGACATTAGCATCTAAGAGGTGTTTTTGTACTTAAAAACACAAAGTTTTTAATTTGTGGTGATAAACTATGAAAATAGAAATATATGAAAAATGTCATGAGGAAAAGCAGTTCTGGGTTATAAGAGAGAGTTATGGTCTCTCTTCTACTCACCCTTTAGACTGCATTTCTTTTAATGTCTGTGGAATTATTGCACAACTAAAAGTCAAATAAAACCTTCAGCTGCGTGGGTTGTAACTCACAACCACTTGAAAAGCATTACAATATCAACAGAACTCGTTCTTTGACTCGTTCATAAATGTTTACATGCAGAACACGTTTTGGAAGAGATTCTCTTCCCTTTGCAGGCTAAAGCCATTTACCTGTGACTTGTAATATTGTAGTGCTTTGTACTGCCTTTGTTTTTGCAAGGCATCAGTGAGTGTTACTCTAAATTTAATATGCTCAGTTTCAATATAGATGCAATAAACATGCGAGGCCATCAAATAAGTCTTTAGTGGGCTTGAGAACAAAACAATCCCATTGCATTTTGCTATTGTTGTTTTTTTTTCATCAAGTATTTATTACTATCATTATCTCGCCATTTGAGTACAGATCAAACTGTCTTAATGTTCACATAGGACTATTAGGATAACGGGCTTACTTTACTGGTTCGGATGATTTGGTTTAGGCAGTAATGTATTCACTGTTCACAATAACATCTGGTATTTATTGGATTTCGAAATATTGTCGGGATTGTTTGACAGCAATTCGAGAGCAGGAAAACCTATTTACAAATGCAGACCGCACTGCAGGACATCCGCATGAGTAAAATGACACCTGAGTGTGGACAGGCAGACAGGACGAGGCAGAGGCAGAGCAAAGCAGGAAGTTGGACTGTCGACCTGTCTGGGGTGTACCCCGTCTCTCGCCTGGCGACAGCTGGGATTGGCTCCAGACCCCTGTGACCCTGAAATGGAATAAGTATGTAAGGGAAATTTAAACATATGGCCACTGAGAGCAGTGCAATATTTGAATTTGGAGACAAAGTGTTACAGTTATGCACCAGCATAGCCATCAGTGTAATCATTCGCCTGCAGGCCCTCACAATAGTCACAGAGATTTTGGGCACCAAGCTGACATGTGTCATTAGTCTGCAATGAGTATATTATCAAAACATGGCCAGTTCACATTACCCTTTACCCTGATGGATTTTATGAAAATTGACTCACCAACTAAACACGGATCTGGAAATGCAGTAATGAGAACATGACTATTTATAATTGAAGCTGTCAGTTTCTTTTGTACA